GCATCCTGTGCACTGTTCCTCAAAGTGCGTAAAACATCTTCAGATACAATCTTTTATCCTTTTCTCATACTCTTAAGGGATCTGAAAGATCACAAAATACCATTATTACTACGGACAAAAGTCGTAAGGAACGGACACTATCACTAACCGTGCTTCTTTAAGAGAGTTGTCCTAAGGTTGGTCATCATTAAGAAGGTGAAGAGCCATGGATGTTGCGTGAAAAGTAGGATGTTCGACACCATCAATAATATTCAAAAAGTATAAATGAAGTTGGTATTCGAATTATATAGAGCAATAGGCGCAAAAACTAACATTCTTCATTAATGGGATAAATTGAATACCCTACCCAGAACAGTCAAGAGAAATATGTAAAAAATATTTTGAATAACTTCTGTTAAAACATCGTTTCCAAATATGTTATAGTGCAGCAAACTCTAAGAGCCCTCATCAGATGTCTCAAATATTTAAAATTTATTTACGCAGCAAAATATGCATATCAGATGCAACAATTTTCACTGTGCCGCCTTTTCTGTATCTTTTACTATTTCGTTGAGCTATTAGGGTTACATGTGATAGAAACCTGCAACCAAAATGAATAATAGCCTATACGGTATCCAGAATTAATAGCTTTCAAATAAATAAATAATTATTAAAATCCGTTCAGTAGTTTCAAGGATTAGTACATTAAAGATACAGACAGATATTTTAAAAGTGATTGAGCTACATTTTGGTGGTGTTTTAGTATATCTCTGAATCAATTATATTGATATATATTTAAAATACATATAGATATACTACTTTTTACTGTTTTATTATAGTAACAACGTAACTTTTGTAAGCCTGAATGGATATAAATTTTAGGGTGTCATTAGAAACCTTACATCATCCCAAGTAATACTGCCACATTTTAAAATATAAAAAAATATTTTCTCCAAATATACACTAGTACGTAAAACTAACAAGTGCTTGAAAAGTTCGTCAGTTATGTTAGGTTCTGGGTAATTTTACCGTGGGAGAGCCACGCTTCAGCATGAATGGGCCGGCTCGACCGGAGTGATACCACGGCCTCACAGAAAACCCACGTGAAGCAACGCTTGCGTTGTGTTTCGTCGTGTGAGTGAGGGTACCGGAAGCCCAACCCCTCCCTACTCCCTTCCCTCTACCCCTCAACCCTTCCCTCCAAGGCCGGCAGCGCGCTTGTAGCCCCTCTGGTGTTGCAGGTGACCATGGGCGACGGTAATCACTTACCATCAGGTGATCCGTCTGCTCGTCTGCCGCCTATCCCATAAAAAAAAAAGTTCAGTGGTTAGAGCAGTCGCATGGATTGTGGAAGGTCGTGAGTTTATAAGAATTCGATTTCTTCTTCTTTTTTAATTATTGGCTTATCTGCGCATTTCGCACAATTCTGCCAATGTAAAGTAAATAAATTAATTTTTAAATGTAAAATGAAAATGAAATGAATGAAAGGTGTTGATTGTTGTTCAATTATGTACGGGAAAAGTATAGCACACACGTAAGAACAAAGAGTAAAGTATATAGCGTAAGAAATAGAATAACAAACATAAATCTTTCATAAAAAGATTAGAGTCAAGTTACTCTTGCTCGTCAAAGAGTAAACCCATAGATTTATAGTACTATTACCTATTCTGCCCGCCCAGACCGTAACTACGGTCGATAAACATCTGGAAAACGAAATCTTCGGAGACTGCAGTTATTTTTATTTTGGCTCAATTTCGGCAATAGTTTTTTTTACAGTATCGCATAACGAATCTAGTGAAATTCTAACATTTAATATATTGTATCGTATAAACAAATAGAATATTACAAGAATGTTATATAAAACAAAATATACCTTTTGAATCTGATACCGCTTATCTCTGTTACAAGTTTAATAGTTCTCCGTCCAAGGAGGAATATATGTATATAACATTTGCTATATTAACTTATTTTTCTTAGATTGTAAATAGTGACTCATTTATTATACTACCACAACTAGATTTCAGTCACGTTTGGCCATAAGACTGCATACCGCTAGTAGAACCTTGGCAGTTTAAATGTTTCAAAAAGAAACTTAGATTGGGTGGGTTTTATTTATTAAAGCTTGGTAAAATATCGTTGGCTTACACTCAAAATGTTTGCAAATAACTGTAAATTTTATGTGCTAAGTTTTAAACTGTTTAATGCCTCGAAAACATTGTAAATGTATTGCATTGTGTGTTTTACAAAATCCCTCTTTGAAAAACAGGAAAGTTTTTGCTTAAGTTGATTGCTTATTATTAGAATGTGTTGTTAAGGCATGTGGTATTCATCACGAACATTATTTTAAAATCACACATGAATATTATATTTGATCAATTTGCATTCACAATGCTACGCTGAGAAATATCCTTAATGAAAAATGTTTACAAAAATCACTTTGTCCCTGGCTTCGGATTGTTAACTATAATATTAAATTAAAATGTCATTAAATTTGTTACGTGTAAAAAGTTGTTTTTTTTTTTGGACTATAAATTTAAAGTTTTAAAGTAACGGTTCAGACAAGATTGTTTTCTTATTTCATAATCTTTAGATTGCGAACTTTCACTTACTCAGGTTTTAAGATTTTAGTAAAAATAATTGTATATAAAATATATATACACTAATAACCTTCCAATAGTAAAAGTTTCTCATAATTCCTACTTCTAAAACGGCTTAATGTTATATAAATTCCTAATGAAATGTTTTCTGTTTTTCTGTGAAATTATATTCTATGGAAATCCCGTATTTCCCAACATTAGTTTGTTAATTAAGTTAGTTAAACTATAAATGAATTTGGTGTTTACTTATTCTTAGAACTATTATATAAAATTAATTGGCACGTTAAATAATTACAGAACCAAATTTAAATGATAGTCAATTACTTTTAAGTAAATCAATAACTAGAAGAAAATTCTGGAGGAGAATATGATTTTATATATACCTAAAATAATATCATCTTATATATTTACTGTATACAATCTATTCTATTTATACCCGGCGACGTCAAAATGAAATTTGGGCGCTACAATATTGAATTTGACCTGGCGTAAAGACGATTATAGTGGGCGAATGGGGAGGTGTATTTGATAAATCAGAAGATTCTCTTCGAGGTGTAAGTTAGGTACAATTATGATATTTATATATTTATTGATATGCGTTTACAAAACCGCCAAATCGAGTAAAAAAGTTAAAAGGGAACGGTTTATGTTATTTACTACTTATATTAAGTTAGGTAATTGAACAACGAATACATTAAACCATACTGAAATGTCATTTATTAGCTTTATTTTGAAATAAATACTATAAAGCCTGAAATTAAAACGCTTGGATATTATTGGTCATTATTGAAATATCCGTAAACTTTTTTCTAACCTGTTATTGCCTTTAAAAGTTATTGAGACAAAGCTTTATTGCTTCGAGATTCATTGTAAATTTATAAAACAGAATATCTCATTGATTAGAAAAGAATTAGTTTTTATTTTGATTACAATATGTGAGGGAGCAAAGATATAGTTACGCATATTTATCCATATTATAAAGCAAAGTCCCGAAACTCTTTATTCTGTACGAAAATCTTTATGCTGTGATCCTTTAAACTTCACAACGAATTTCAATGTGGTTTTCATTAATATACAGAGTGATTCAAAAGGAAGGCTAATATGTATAATATAGGACCACGCGGACAAAACCGCTGGCGGATAGTAATTTATAATAGTTTTAAAGCTAGTCAAAAGGGAATAGCTTTACATGAGACAATATCTTTGCTAGACAATAAACTATGCTGCAACTTGAATATCACAGTGATGGCGTGTTTCTACAACTATTTCAATTTATTGCTGTAATTAAGATAGCAACAATAAAACTATTCCTGTTTTAGACATGATTTTACATTTGAGTTAAATCATATTCGAAATATACTATTAACTTGTCTTCATTTATTTCGTTAAGTATTTTGAACTCGCAAATTGAAATGTGATGATTTTTTTTTATTATATTTAATTGAAAATGTAATCGATGATAAGAAATGATGTTGACGTGGAAATTGCAAAAGGTATTGAGTTTAATTGTTCGATTGTTACAGTCTACAGTCATTTAAGAATAAAACTTTACGTTACTTATTTAAAATCTTTAGTTTATACTTAAACATCGTGAAAAATCCTTAATTCTCTTGAAAACCCTTATCTAATGTGTTTAATTTTTTTACGAAAATCCGTTATAACTGCCTTAAATCTAACTTGTTTCATATGTTTTTTTTTTACGAAAATCCGTTATTGATGTGTAAGTATGTAAAAATATTTCTTTAGACTGTTAGGGTAGATTACTTAAATAGCGTAGTTCGGTGGCGTAATAAGCGCTGCAGGCCGCGATCGTTGTTGTTGAGGATCGTTACGGGACGGGTGACCAAAAAATTATTATCTCGAGTTACACTGTGCTTTGGAAGACACGTTAAGCTACTGGTACTGGCTGAATTTGCAGCCATTAATACCTTAATAGTGTGGAAGATCATAGGCCATCCTCCTTAACCATACACAAGGAAGGTCTGAGCCTTTGCAGTGGCGACGTAAAAGAGATGATGATAATGATGTCCCTAAATATAAACGGAAATACTCAATCTTAAAGTAAAAGTAATCCTATTACAATATTATAAATGTGAAAGTTCCTTTGTTTGGATATCTGGATGCTTGTCCGTCAATCACGCTGAAACTACTGAACGGATTTTGATGAAATTCGGTATACAGATAGGGTATTAGCTGATTTAGATAATATAATATACTTTTTATCCCACTAAACATTTCTCCGCTAAGCCGCTGGCGAAAGCTAGTACTTAAAAAGAAGCTCAAATATAATAAGACCACTTGACTGGTTAGCAAGTAACTTTAATTCAAGTCCAGTCAAGTTTAAGATTAGCATATTGATAGTAATATGAATGCCAAATCCAAAAAAAAGTTCTAAAAATTAATTTGTTTTATTTTTGTCTGCAGCGATAACATCGGCACACGAAATCACCCAATTGAAGGTGCCTCTGTATGCTGACCCTCGAAGGCCGGCAGTTCTGAGCTGCCACTTTCAAATGGAAGATCAGAAATTACATTCAGTGAAGTGGTACAGGGATATGAATGAAATATTTCGATACAATCCCTCGCAAAAGGTGATTTTTTTTAGTTATTTTAATCGTTTTTTGTTTCCTTTGAACTATTACATCAAATAGAATGTCAGGTTATAAATCTTATTGTCTTGGAAGTCGAGGCCTATTCTATTTCTCAGAAAATATAATGTCGTTTATTTTCAAAATTATAAGTGATCCCAAGAAACATATTTTTCGATAATTTATGATGCAAAGAAGGTAGGGCCTGACATTGCCTGTGATGCACAAATAATCTTTATGGATAAGATATTACAAAATTATAAAAACGATTCAAAATTTTTGTTTGAAACCATATAGAATCAAATGACGTGTTATTTCGTACGAGTTGTTTAATTCAGTGTTATTTGAAAAACAACAAATAGGCTGGCTATAGTTTTAAACGTCAATATTTGAGTTATAGCTACAGTAATTTCTAAATAATAATATTTTTGAAATAGCCAAAATTAACATTAAATTTTAGAATATATGTACTGTTAATGATATTAAAAATGTAGTTGCACAAAGTTTATTAAGATTTTGACGACTTTAAGATTTAATAAATGTTCGAAAATTTGAAAATTTTTGTCGGTAAAAGCATATTAAACTAATGACAGAAAAATATTGTGAGCTAATTAAAAACTTACCCAATCCTTTTAAACTGTCATGGTCATTCAAATTTTAATGAAAGTTATCTGTGGGATTGCTTGTACCTTATACTTATTGTTTTTAAGTCTTGCGGGTTATGAAGATGTTACTGGCATATGCCATATCTATATTCGGATATAGATATACATACATATCTACATCGATCTTAACCCTGTATATTATTTTTGTGACAGCCTCCCATACGTCTGTTCAACGTGACAGACATCATGGTGCAAGGCGGCGAATGCCAAGCTGACTCGTGCATGGTGAAGGTCATGCCTCCACCAGTCGCTACCAGAGCGGCTTACACCTGCGAAGTGTCCACGGAGGGACCCAAGTTCCAGATTGCGAGGCAAACAAAGCACATGACCGTTGTTGGTGAGTTATTTTTTGATACATCTCATCATTGAATCGTTGGTTTGTTGATGGAGGGTGAGAAGCACCCCCCGGGCTTCAGGTAAAAAAGAACGAAACAAAAAAAAACTTTTTTTGTCAATTTTTACTTTTATTAATCTCAGGGGTATGTTTACAGATTCGCTATTGTCCCTGTGACTTTTATTGGGGAGGACTTCTATTTTTTAAGTTGAAAAAGATTTAATGTTGCCTTCGCGGGGTCAGTGTCAAGGGCCGAGCAGAGGCTGGTCAGCAGCACTGGTTCACATGAAAACTCCACAAGTAGAACGCAGAGAAGCGTAGCGTTACATCATCACCAGCATGCTCACTGTTGGGATACATACGGTTCCTATATATGGAATAGAATGGAATAGGGAGAAGGTGAATGTAAACATAAACTACCACGCATTCTCAATGCGAATAGCGGGTGTTACCGACTGCAGATATGCCGTCTGGATCAATGGCTAAACGTGCCATTTAGAGCACGGCGGAGCTCGAGACACTTATGTTATTAATACATTATATTCTTTAATGCATATAGTTGTGCGTAGCTTTGAACAATCATTAGAATAAACGGATCTAGATTGATACCTCTGTAATTTAACTCATTGCACTATTTCAGACCTCATCTTTTATTCATATGCGATGTTCCGTCTAGTACTGAATGCATTTTCTGTATAGTGTTTACAATTAAATAAAAACTGGCCAAGTGCACTTTGAACTAGAGTAGGAACGTGTTGTTTTGTGTGGCATACGAACAGGACGGTGAATATAGACATTAATTAAGCTGTCAAAGTGGTAAATAGAAATATCAAGGTACTTCCCCTTCATGTAAACTGTGGATGAAATTTTTTTTTCAACTTCTCCATAAAGATGGACATCCTTAGATAGATATTTCAAAAACATTGAGGGTATGCCAAGGCCTTTTTTCTATTTTGTAAACCGTTTGCGACTTATAAAGATTTCAAGAGCTTATTTTCGTTAGTCATGTGTCTTCCCCCTCTAAATAAACTGTCGTCGATAAAATTCAAACCTTACGGCGGTACTAACTATATATAACGCAGTAAAAAGGAAAACTATAACACTTAAATAGACTTCACAAGTTTACTAGTAATAGTCGACCAACTGTATTTAACTGTAGAAAATAAGAAGGATGTTTTCTTTTTTATAAATGGATAATGGTATGGAACGTGCGAGTCCCACTTGCACTTAACCTGTTTTTTACTTAGATAGAAATTGTGACGGGACGTGAAATTTGCGTCGCTTGGTGAACGCATATACTTTTTATTGAAAACTTGCTAGGTGGTTTAGCGTGGCGTCTTCCATACATTATCGTAGTTACTCGCGTAAGCTTAACTTTTGGTCTTACTTTAGACTTTTTAATTGCTTTCTTAACAGCGCATATCGAGCGAGCGCATATATTTTGGATGGGACCTTTTTCAGAAATTAGCCAGAATACACAGAGAGACAAAAAAATGTAAGAAAAATATTTTGGTATATTTACAATGTACACATACTACGTATTTAGTAAAAAGCGGTTATTTTAAAATAACTAACAGACACTCTAATTTTATTTATTTGTATACATTTGATTTACTGAACAAAATTATTTATAATAATAAAACATTCTAGAGCGAATAGTTAGTCGGATTAACTCCCGGTACTTGCACAAGCGACGGTGGCGCCATCTAGCGTACTAACACGATTTGGTTCGCAACAGTGCCAGTTTAACGCGCGTTGCACCCTTTATGGTTCCATCTTTTATTCATAACGAGAGTTCTACTATCTAACTACATGTTTGTTGTTTTTGTGAAACACGGCAAAAATAGAGATGTTATATTATCTTAATTGCTATCAAAGCTTTTCAGTTGGGTAAATGGCCTTTTAAAACTTTTAGGGTAACTTTGTTTTTCGAATATACTTGATTATGATGTTTATTGTTGTTTGCTATTGTACGATTCGACTGCAGTTTTGAATATTGTTGATTTTAGGTGTAAAGTAGTAACTACTGTAAACTAGTGATTAGACCACTACGAAAGAAGTTAGTGAATTTGGTTTGCAAATTTTACAATAACCTGTCGCATAATGGCTGACCAACCATTGTACTAGACCCGCGTGGTGGGTCCTGGTCCATTCTCCTTATTCAACTTCATCCGGTGGAAATGCTTGTGGTGGTGAGGAAACTAATATACTGATGATAAATAAACAAGAAAAGAATATCTGAGACAACGAAAGTACCATAACATTTACACAAATGATGACTTAGAACGAAACAAACCATTAACATTGACTATCTTATTTACATATTACATTAATTCGAGATTATAAATATACATTGTATATTAGACATCGTACATTGTATATTATACAATACATTAAGAGGCTGCTCTTTTTAAAGTATTGTATGTATCATTTTAAAATAGACAGCCAAGTTTAAATCGAACTGTCTTGTTGATACAGTTGGTTTTATTACGAGCATTGAATTGCTATCGAAATCTCGATATAAAACTTCCCCTATGCCAAAGATAATATAGTTTAATACGTAACAAGCTGTAAATATGTGCTGGTAAAAGTTTGCGCAGTCGTATAATGCGGCGAGATATTGCGTATTAGATTGGAGATAAAGTCTTTTCGCATATAGTATGCATAAACTTTTAATAAAATCTTTCTGGATGTATCATTTGTAGGTATCTGGCTGGTTTCGGTATCGTAAAAAAGTTTATATTTTAAAGAAGATAATTCCGAATTCAAATTAGGAAAATCTGTGATTTTCATTTGTGTTTCTTACTGTGCGAAAAAGGTAGTGGTCAAAGGTCAGTCAGGATTTACAGACTGTGACGAAATCCAGGTTAATTTGCAACAGGGTAATGCTGTGTGTATGGTGGGATTGAAAGGGCGTTTTTCATTACGAGCTGTTACCGCCAGATAAGACCATCAATTCTGAATTCTACTGCGAACAGCCAGAAGTAATCAATAGTAGTAGTGTAGTTTTTCATCATGATAACGCTAGACCTCACACATATTTATTATTATTATTATATTTTGCCACTCAACAAAAATTTTGAGCGATAGCGTTTAGCGCATAGTTCTGACCTTGCACTTTCAGATTTCTACCTGTTTTGATATCTTTATAATTCTTTTGGTAGTGTCAGGTTTACATCACGCGAGGACTAGCAAAACCACTTGTCGCGATTTTTTGAACAGAAGCCCTTAAATTTCTATAGCAATGGGATCATGTCCCTACTTAAAAGATGAAGAAAGTTATCGAACAAAGTGGTACCTACATACTTTAGTTAAATGTATATGACCTTTATAGTAAACTATAAAAAGTAGCTTAGTGGATAAGCGCCGCGGCCCGTGATCGTAGTCGTTAAGCAACTTTCGTAAGGGTCAGTCACGGGATGAGTGACCAAAAATTATTATCCCGAGCTACTCTGTGCTGCATTTGCAGTCGTTAATACCCTCCAATCCGCATTGGTCTAGCGTGGAGAGTCAGGGCCCATCCTCCTTAACCATCCATAAGGAAGGCCTGAGCCCCTGCAGAGGGGACGTAAAAGGGCTGGCGATGATGATGAAGATGAACTTTATTAAAAAATATTTTGAATTTTCCACTAAAATGGGAATAGACTTTTCCCTTGGCCTATTCATGAATATCGAATTATAAATATCTAAACAGAGGACGTACCATATGAAAAGACATTTTTGAAAATTTCAAATAAGTATATCTTTTACTGTGATTTCAAACTTAATAGTTTTGTATTTATTTTAAGAAATACGTGGAAATTAATCTTCCCCACCCTGTAAACCTACTCAATTACTTCGAAAAAGAAATTTTGTAGAAACAAACCCATTTTTCAATAATTTATTATGCTACAGAGGTGGGACCTAATACTGCCCCTGATTTACTGATAATTATTCCGGATATTAATTTAATAAAATTTAAAGGACAATTTTTGTCGTTCGTTCGGTCTAAATAAAAAAATATAATTATAAAATATAGCATTAAAATTACGTAATTTAGAAAATCAATAAGAATTCTTTATGTTTGTTAAACTTTACACAGACAGATAGATAATTCTTTAGATAAAGATACATGAAGCCCTAGGTGTGCGATTACGAATCTCTCTTCGCTGTTTTTCTCTTCTATATATTTAGTTTTGTTAAAACTATCTTTTCAAATTAGTAACACAGACATTCAAATAATTATTGCGCATTGTTGCATGTTATAAGTAGCCGTAATAGGAACTGAGTAAAGTTTAAATTACATTTAGACGTATTCATCGTAGTCCGATACAACGAAGCACTTTAGTCACTTAGCTCCCATGGGGATTATCTATCGGTGTACTATAATTCGATAGCCAGGCAGTTGACAATTTAGATTGGGGTAGTGTTATATATGTCACACGGATTTTCTCAACGATGTGATATTATAATTTCACTAGTGACATTATAATTACACCGATTATTGTCAATAACAACTGGTTGTATTAGTTCACGGGTTCTTTTAAGATATATTGTAATGTCACTGAACCACAATAGTGTTATTGTTATAAATCTAGGTTCATTATTAGTTGACTTTGTGGTGAGAGCCCCGTGATGTCTGATTAGACAATTGAGTTAATCAGTTGGAATAAAAACGAATTGTTACTAGAATAGTGGGTTAGGTTAAGTTAAAAAATATTTATCCAGTAAATATTAGATATATATATAAATACAGATGAAGGTGTATTTCCTAACTTTAAGGAAATTAGCCCGTTTCTTCAGCCCGTAACTGAGTTTAGAAAATTAAACGATTGTCAATAATCAGTGTAATTATAATGTCACCAGTGAAATTATATTACTACATCTTTTATAATATAAAATAAACCTTCCTCTTGAATCACTCTGTATATTAATGAAAACTACAATAAAGTTGTGTAAAAAGATCTCAGCGTATAATGTTGGCGTGACTAAAATCTTGCAATCTAAATTTGATTCGCTTTCCGGTTCCCGTTAGGCCTTAAATTTTGCATGCATATGTCACTTGGATTACAATATTAATATGGAATGGACCTGATTTGATTATGAAACTATAAAGCAGCATGAGACTTCTGTACTTTAATGAAGCAACTCCGGCGAGTCTGGTCTTATTTGATTTATCTCGACAAGGATTTTGGTCCAGGATAATATATTCTTCGACTCTTTACTCACTGTAGTTTCATTATTGAAGGCATTTCCTTGTTTTTATTAACAATTTAATTAATCAATGGAGTAAAAATAAATAGAAACCTTAATCATAGTATTCTATGGTTCTCTAATTATTGAATGTTTCCTTTTAATTCCATTTGTCGGTATATATTCTATTAGATTTGCCCGCAGCACTGTCGAACCCAACTCATCTCTAATTGCTTTCCCCTTGGCGTTAAAGTTCATTACCCACTGATATCGATATAAGAAGGTTCTATATGTGTAAGTTACAGAATTCCTTGAACCGCTGTAAAAGTTAAAACTCTATTAGTAATATAATATTTACAGATAAATAATGGTGAACTATCACGTGTAATCTATAAAGGTGTTTATCTACTGCCACAGCACGCACGCACTGACCGCACTACACGTAATGCATTGCACAGATTTGTCTATGTCATACGTCCACTAAAGCCGAAGTGTTTTTTTTTAATATAATCCATTACGTGTTTTTGCCTAGTTGCCTAGTGTTGATTAATGGCTATTAGTGACTATAGCTGAAGTAGGGATAAATGGCTTTAAGCGGTACCATATCACTCGGTGTCGAGCCTCTGCTAGACATAGTAACTTTTTGGTCATCCATCCTATGACTGACCTCTGAGAAAGTTACTTAACTTTTGCAATTGCAGACCAACCGCATTAACGCATAACCGAGTTTCAAACACAAATGCTTAACTATAAAACTTTCGAAATGATGATTTTAGTTATAGTTATTAATCATACTATTTACCAACATCACAAGCTTGAAGCGGAAGGTCTGAATGTCGCCCTTGCGAAACAGAATAGAAACTATAATTCTAATTGAATTATTTGAGTTGGAAACTCTCTGGAGAAATAATTGGTATTCTGGTATTCTGAATATCTAACTTGTATTGTATTGGAAATGGTTTTGCCCGCAGCAATGCCTGATCTGGACCCAGTCATAATTGGCGCACCCAAGGTGTTGAAACCGGGAGAACAAATATTCCTCAATTGTACATCCGACTATTCCCTGCCGCCGTCGGATATTAATTGGTACATTGACAACGAACTGCAAAAGGTAAGTTCACATTTTTAGAATCTTTTGTCTAGCTGTAATCAAATCTTGCAAGCTAAATGTTGGTTTTCGATTGAACTGAAAATCTGTATATAGATGAATGAATGAATGATCCATTGCAATACCAATGTAACTACCCAAGTAGCAAAATAAGGTGCTATAGAAGTTTTTAATGAGTGCTAATCAGTTTTATAAATATGTTGTAAATAGGGTAAACTAAGGTAGTTTTATCATTGATTTGTCCTTAAAACATAATGGAAATTTGATGCGTAATAAATCGATCTGTATCAATTATATGACTAGTTCAGTAATCATAATATACGTGGCATATATATGTAATTTTTGTTTGTTTGTCCGTTAGGCAGATTGTTGAAGTTTTAACAAGTTGAGTTTTTTTGTACAAAGGCGTGACGTCAAGCGATATAGAAATATCGTTTTGTAACAAACATGTACTCAATATTCTTCTGTTATCTGACTGATGGATGAAATATTATTTCTTTTTCTTATCCTCTCTAATATGATTTTGTTATATAACAATACTTTTTTCTTTTAAATTATTATTTCAACATGTGCATTTCTTGAACTCGCTAAAATTGGTAGTGCAGCAAAATAGAAATCGCGATAACTCGTATATGTTAGTGATGTATAATTTTTTGGTCTTAATTAACAAATGAAGTTCGCGTAGAAATTATTTTTCGAACGAAATGAATAAAAATACAGTTATATTTGCCTTGGGAAAACTTATAACTTGCATAGTTTGGATCGGCGGCTCTGAGAGCGGTATATTCGCTTTGTTTGCCATTAGGAACGTTCATTGTTAAGCGACTTAAAGCATCCGAGGTACTCTTTAAATCTTCTCTAATGGCCTTTTAAAACAGCCGGTATATTACGCTAAAATGCGCCCCTTTTATTCTCAGTAGCATACCTTAAAATATATTTACGCCTAATTAGGTATTACTTTAACTTCCTTTCCGACATTCATTTTGGTGAGTTCTGGTAATGGTATTTTACATTTGTATCCACTTTGATGGATTTGGACAGTAAATGAATCGCTGGTTCCTCGAGGGATAGCTTTTTATCTCACTAAGACGCCAACATAGCCGTTTTTGAATAGATCCTATTCAATTTGTTAAAGAGTCGAAATTCCGTTACTCACAAAGAAGTATTTTAATAAAAATTGCTAAGATATAAATTTAAAATAATTTCTAATAAAATGTTACGCATAAAACAGCTTTGCAAGAACTTTTTTTCGTTAGACACTGCTGTACCTACGAGTTTAAACTTTTTGCAATGTACAGAAGAACGTTTTTGCATAATTTGCTTCAGCTAAGGACAAGAAAATATTTCTGAACCCTACCTTGAGAGAAGCAATGTGTAAGCATCACAAAATATACATGCTGCATTTAATTTAACGGTGACTATTTTAATAATAATAACGAAGTGTAGGCTGCGTTTACACCAATAATTACTTTAACGTCTTGATAATAAATTCTTACTAAACCTTTTATTTTTTATTTTTAGGGATACATATCTTAAAAGGGAAAATGAAACTAAGATGACTGACTGTTTTTCTGTTTGATAACTATTGTTGACTTCAACATCTTGATAATAAGTTCTTACTAAAAGTTTTTTCTAATTTTTAGGGACCCATATCTTAAAAGGGAAAAGAAACTTAGATGACTGTTCGTCTATTTGTCTGTTCGTCATTGGTGTCAGATTCATTCAAATCATTTAAACTACATACTGATTAGAAAATTATGTACCTAAATACTTAAATGACTCGGTGATCCAAAAACGTAAATAAATAAATTTAAAGCATCTTTTGTTTCCATTATCGTCCCATCTACAGTTTAGTTAATACTGCATTAGATTATACTAAACTGTCAAAATTCAATTGATTTTGAACTTAAAATTCTTAGGGTTTTAAGTCGATGCATTAATAAACTAAAGTTCTGTAACGATTTGTAGTCAAGGATATTCGTAAAAGCTAAAAATTATAATCACCAAAACTGTTATGATGAGCGCAATGTATATTATACCTAAAATAAAATAAGAATAAGATAAAAAAGTAAAAGGTTAAAAAATTTCAGCCAGAACAATGGCAGAGGACAGAGCTGAGCGCGATTCAGCCAGGTGGTCTACGACGCTCTTGGAGAGTGTTGCGAGTAAGGGTGCCGCCCACAGCGAGCGGAGCGCTGCGCGTACGCTGTGAAGCGATACTGCTGGTCGAGCCACCAGTAGTCAGGGACACGATCGCTATCATCACTGTACACTCACGCACGCAGCTCTCCAAATATGTATCTAATAATAGAGGTCAGTTTTTAGGCTGTGTTCAAATCAAACGTATAGTCGATGACGTGTTTTAATTATATGATTACCCGTAAAACGGGTGCGTAATCTCCGCAAATCGCTAATGTGTCTGGCAACCATTTTGATGAAGTCATTGCGATCAAAACATCAGTAGTTAACTAAAAAATACCACTGGTTGACAAATACACTTATTGAGTTGGGTTGTGTTAAGATCACACATAATTTTTGTCGTGATTTTATTTGTTCCAATTGTTATTGATAAGTTTTGTTGTTCCTTATTAAGCTTGACTAAAATAGCTGCTATCATAATTTCACTTATAATAAATATATCTAATGTCTCCATTTTTATTATGACTTTTGGTTATGTTTTAAAAACATGTCTTTTCCGTTTAACATCGGGTTATTACAAAGTAAAAGTTATTTTTTCATATTTTTTTTATTTTGCATTTACCTCAATATTTACATATAAATTGATCCTTTTCTGAAAATTCATGCAATAAATTATCAAACTTAATGTTGTTAAGTGTTTAAAAATCAAAGAGGTGTAACTCTTTGTAACTCATTACAAATATCATCCATGCTTACTTCTGTTTCTTCTCCTTTTGTTTTAGTCAGTTTTCCAATTGTAATGTTGAGAGAGGCATATATGCTGTCGCTTCTTCTGCTATAGGTGAAGACGGCATGAACCGTAGTATGATCCTCCCTCTGCTCGACATCCTAACTCCCATTATCACTTATATCCCAAAAGCATCCATCACCTCAGCAGTTTTTCCCAAATTATGGAAGACACTTTCAAAACTAAAGTAAAAGCATTATTTATCAGGTGAGTATAAACCCTCTCCTGTATCTGGCTAGTATCACTATTTATTCCTTGTTTTCAATAATTGTATAATGTGTTGTAAATTTTAATATTAGTATTTCTTAACATAATAAGTTTTATTTTGTGTTCCTAATGTTGCACTTAGCCTTCTTTTTACGTGATTTATAAGATCTATCATTGGTAAATAGGTTGCCTGGAAGAGATCGCTGTCAAACGATAAGGCCGCCTACTGTACAACATCTATTATATTGTTATTTTTTTATGTTTTTTTTCTGTGTTGTGCGATAAATTGTAAAATAAATAAATAAACAATATCTTGAGAATTATTGACAAATATTTGAATAATTAATAAATAATATATTTCCCGACTTTTGTGCTATCTATATTTTCTATTTTAATGTCACGCGGGTGTTATTTAGGCAAGATTCCAGCGCAATAGCAATGTACAGGACTTATACATACTGAAATATTTTCTTCACATCGAACCGACATACGTTTTATGAGTAATAATTATTCCATGAAACAATCTCAATATTACTATCCGACTATTAATGTCCCCATTGCTGGGGCACAGGTTGGGAGAATCGAATTGAATTGGGAGAATGGGCCTAACCACCACGAGGTGCAGATTGGTAGGTGTAAACAATATCAATATCTTAATATGCCTTAGACACTCAAGATAATATATATTTTTGGTCATACATCTTATGATCGGCCATTGCCAAAGTTTCATAACTAAGCATCACAGACCGAGCGCGCTAAAGATCGAGCACCACACAGTAAAAAAAATAGTTAATTATTTTTTATTTAGGATATTCTGTTTTTCGGTGATTCATTTATTTTAAATTCTCTCATTTGCCATAGTGATTGCGAAGGGAACAATTTGAAAGGTCTTATGATAGTGACATATTATTAAAATTTCAAGTAATAGAAATATAAAAGTAACAATAGATAATAAGGGAAGAATACATAAATCTGGACTCAAATAAGCGTCTAATATGTTAAAATTTTTCTTCACATTCCGTAACATTTCTGTGAAAGGCAAAATTTCTCCAATAAATTATAAACCTTCATCTGTTCGTAGTTAAGTTCAAACCCCAGAAAATAGTTATGGTAATTTTTAAAGACTAACAGGATTTATTTACTTCAGATCATAATTTAATGGTAATGTAAATTGAAATAGTCCAATAACATATCATATTGAAATACTTTAGTTCAAAGGCTTAAATCAATATATCACACAGATAAATGCCGTCGTATATCAATTTCATTATTGAAATTGGCTTTAGCCCGGTGGTGTAGTGGATAACAGTCGCGGCCCGCGATCTTTGTTGTCAAGCAACTTTTGCAAAGGTCAGTCACGGGACGAGTGACCAAAAAAAATATTATGTCGAGCTAATCCGTTCTTCGGAAGGCACGCTAAGCTGTTGGTCTCGGCTGCATTTTACAGACGTTGATACCCTCCAATTCGCATTGAGCCAGCGTGGAGGGTCCTGGCCCGTCCTCATTAACCATCCATAAGGAAGATTTAAGCCCCTGCCACGGGGACGTAAAAGTGCTGATGATGAAGATTGATATTCTTTCTTAGCATTAAAAATAAATAAATTAAAATTAAACAAATATTGAAGGGGGGCTCCAAGACAATAAAAGTTACTTTTTTGCTTGTTTCCGGGACAGAAGCCTTTGTGAGCGAGTCTTACTCGCACTTAGCCATTTTTTAGAGTACAAGTTGCCAGACAATATATTTTTGTGACATTTTCAAAAATCATTGTAAAATACACCAATTTAAACATAAAATTGTTTTCCTTTTAAACTAAACCTTCGTCATTTAATATTCCGTTTATTTGAAGTTTTTGAATTAATCTATTCTAATATTATAAAGAGAAACTATTTGATTGTTTGTATCGAATAGGTTCCGAAACAGTTTAACCTATTTTAAAAATTCTTTCTCCTACGGGAAGCTACATCATACGTGGGTAACATAGGCTATAATTTACACGCCCAAAGTCGTGTTTAAATAGGCAGCCGCGACGGGGATGATTTTATTTTGTCATAATACAATTGCCTTATACAAACTCTTTTGAATTCATACAGCTTCATTTTAGAGGCAAGTGTAAACTTACAAACAAATGTTTATAAAATTGTAATTTGTTTTGGACATTTCTGCTAATAGGCGTGTCATTAAGGAGCTACCTTTTTAGTTCATTTGCTGAATGTCTCCGTCTTGAAATGTCTACTTGTCTCAAAAATGTCACGATGAAATAATTTATTCCACTAATGGAATTCCTGTTTTAAGGAGACATTTTTACGTGTTTGCATTCTTACTTAGAATAAATAAATTATATATTTTCATTTAACTATATAAGATATACAAGCTTTTCTTAAACTTCTCTATATTAATATTAAGGAAAGATTTAATTGTTGGTTTTTTTGTATGTTTGTTTTTTGCATCAAAAAGGCTCCAAAACTACTAGACTGATTTTAAAAATTCTTTCATCTACGGGTAACTACATCATAAAGGTTTGGCATAGGCTTTAATTTACGCGTGCAAAGTCATGGGAAAACAGCTGGCATGAAACCGGTTCAGAATAAAACTGAATGGGGAGTAAAATTGCGATGGAATAAAAATCGGTTGATTCGCTTGTTTCGTAAAGAGCATTGTTCTTACACTTTAATTTCAATATATCATTTTCAAGCGACAACATTTATTATACCTGTTTACGGATGTTATGGATACGAGTATACACACTTAAAAACCGCGCCGATGTTTGTAAGATGGGGTCATATTTAAACCGGCAAATGAACAAAACCGTATTTCTAGTAATGACATACTGCCATATTTTCGTCAGATCGAACCGATACACGTTTTATAAACCGGTTTAAAACCCGGTTAAAAGAAGCGTAACTTTTTATGTAAATTTCCGCATGTACGAGTACTCACGTCCAACCGGTTCAAAAAATAAACCGGTTTTGTAAGCCCTGACAGCATTACATATTTATTAATTTTACTTAATGGGCCAATTGCAATTAATACTATGTATACCATTGGAAAATGCTACTATATTCCAGAATTACGATTAAGATAAATGAATAGATAGGCGAGCGATAAAACTAACTCTTCTCTTTGTTGCAGGTGTGAATTGTGTGAAATTAGGCGTATCTTCTGTTATATTAGTTGCAATTACATGGACTTTTACTCAAATATCAAGATTCACGAGCTTATGAGGATTGGTTTAAAGTACAGTGATATTAGTTTTAAGTCTTAGATAAATATTAACAATATGAGAATTATATTAAATTAATCTAATTTCATTAAGGTGAATTCATTTGTTGAATATGTACAGGTTAGAGGTGGTCTACAATGATAAGCCGATATGAATTGAACATAATTTAAATTTAATTCTTCTGCATATTTGTACTACAGAGCGATATCAGTTTAATTTTCTTCTTACAAACCTTATATTTTTTCGTTAAGATCAGATAAAATTTTGTAACAATGTTTTCACGAAACGAAAGCTGCCTATATTCTTTAAAAATCGAGAGAAATAAAATTACATTCCGATATTAACGTTGCGAAATTACTTGCTAATATTCTGTTACATTTATTTACAAACATGAACGTCTTCATGTCTGATGATGCTTTTTCAACTCGTAAGGAACAAATGCTTAAATAGGGGGGAAAATACGGGATTTCCATATTCTAATCGGGATGAATTAAAAAAAAAGAATACAAATAAATATATTTTTTAATATTTCTCAGATAAATACGTTTGTTGCATGAATGCGTTTTAAAACGCGCATGATTTGACATGTATAAAAATAAATAAAGTTATGAATTATTATTTTGCTTTTTATTACACGATATATGGGACAAAGACGGTCCCACCGGGATATTTGAATTTATGCTTGAAATATGGGACGTTCCGAGAAATACTAGACTTGATAATCTTCAACAAAACCATATAAATTTATAGTTTAACCAATGTTAAACATTAGCCACACATATCTTGTATCAAAAAAGAATTCATGGAGAAGAAACATAATATAAACGTATAATAAAAATGAACCCTCTAGAGTTTAAGCTGAGGGTCATTAATTACATGCATTGGGCGGCGTTCCGACGTCAAAAACACAAAATAAAACAAACGCAAAGTGTGTTGTTGTTTTTTAACATTCTTCGAGAGTACCCTTGCTTATTCAACTGCTCATGTTCTTGATAACTTTCAGTGACTTTAATTTTGAATAAAATAATGAAATCATTTTCGCTATTCATACGGAAAAGTTGCATTTCCTAATTTTTTAAGTTGTCACGAATTTGAAAATTAAGCGAATATACATGAGTTTTCTTTCACTTTAATGATACTTCTCAATGCCTATGTTATGTTTTATTTAAAATTTCAACATTTTTTTCGGAATACAATAACCTTATACTATCAGATGGTATTTAAATATTTTTTTAAAGTTGTTCCTATTTATTTAAATTATTATCGGTTGCGATTGGTTTAATTAATATTTTTCTGTCGTTGAATTTTAAAGTTCTGAATAAATATACTTTCACTAATCAATAATTTAAAAACCGCTACTAGATTTCGATACTTCAGAAGCAATAAACGAAAGGCTTTGTTGATTAATTGTAACTCTAAGAAAATATACAACATTATTACAACTTAATTATTAGTTGACAAGTCTCTTTGATATTTCGTCTTTAATTCTGTTTTATGGGCTCGACGGCTTTCGAAGTTTCGAGACATTTAAGGAGTAATTCGTAAATTTTAACGTTAAAACTTTTCTTGTTTAATTAGCATCACATAAAATGTGATATAGTCTTTTGTTTCAAGAACTTGTTTTACAGTAAATAAGCGATCCGATAGGGGTGTAGACATTAAAAGTAAATAAATACTTTTTTTTTGGTTTTATTTAATATATTATTACGGATAAACAAACTTTTATGTTTAAAAAACATTTAAATAATATTGCTTAAAAAATATTATAAAAAACAAATATTTTATACTCGTTGTCATGTGAATGCAAACAGCGTGTGACGTTCGCCCCTCTTAGTAATATCAGAACTAAAGAACTAAACCTTATGCATAGATTTAGAGGGGCGTGACGTTATAGCGATGCTATGATTGACGTTGAAGTTTCCGCGGGCAATTTCGAAAAATAAATTTATTTTCAGCTCTTAACTTATTATCTGAATGATACTTTTTTATATATATTTAATTTAATTTAAAGTTGCCTACACCCCTATTTTACCTTATGTTTCATAGACAAATATTATATGCAGATGTAATGGGTAATTTATTGATATTGATTTATTTTATATTGTAGTTCCCGAGTTAATTAGTTTTGTAATAATAGTGTTTAAAATAATAGACATAATCTATGGCTGTGTTCTCACTTAAGGTAATGTCAATTCTTTGCACGACATCATCTTTTAATCTCTGTAAAGTGACACATTATTGTCGTTTTATTTTATTATTGTGTTGTAATGGGATACGTAAATAAAGTTATTGAAAAATTGTGAGATATTTTTTTTAGCTACTTATATACCTGTGTACGTAGCCTACGTACTACAATATGCCAAAATTATCCAGTTGATTCTAAATTACCTTCAAATCGTTAAGGTTAAAAATTAAATGGAGATATTTGAGAGATTTGTATAGCCTAACGTGTTGTTAACTGTGTATAATATGTGTGTGACTAAAATGACATCTGAACTAAATCAGATTTATAATTTTAGTAAAATAACAAATGATAATGAAATGAATAGGATGATGATGACATCATCCTATTAATGTTCTTACTGTTGATGGAATCTTATCAAAATAAAACGGGCAAATGTTGGGGAAACGTATTATTTATGTATTAAGTACATAGATTTTAATATCTTCATAAATAAATGTTCATAATGGACCCGAGAGCGACTGGTGAATTTTAGTAGCATTTACCGGCGTAGCATAATGAATGCAAAATTTATTAAATATAATAATCTTCATTGATTTTTCTTGTATTATAAAAACATTGTAGACATGTTCAAAAGCGGACATATACACTTTTAATTATTAAAATTCTAATAGTTCTACTTAAACAAATAAATATCTTTTGAATTAAATGACAAATATATTATTCTGAAGTCAGAGTTTTCTTTACCATTTAGAATAATAATAATTTTGTCGTACCTACTTCGTGTAATTGTGTTGAGTTTGTCTTACTGTGGTCAATTAAAAAGTTTTGGCCCGTAATAAGATTCCGTAAAAATATGCTATTCTTAAACAACCGTAGTTAGAAACAAAGTGTGTGCGTTTTGTTATTTTTTTAATGTTGCTTATCATCAGTGACTTCATAGTCAAACGAAATCATTTTTCAATATGCTATATGCTTAAAAATCAACTTTGTCCCTGGTACTCTGAGTTGGGACTCGAACCCATGACTAATATATATATATATCTACACGCTCATTTTTTTTAAATACAAGAACTGCGTTGTTTAGATACACAAATTATGAATTTCAACTATTTGTGTGTGTGTCCAAGTCTACTAATTATCAAAAATGACTTACAATATTTAGAACCAAACATATTAACATTTAGGCCTTCCATTGTAATCAACCATTTTTTTTTATATTTCATTATTGCAAACATGAGAATACATATATTCTTCATATTCTTGACTTTTGCTGTAAAACTATCATCGCCGCACTGTTGGAAGACAATCCTTACATGTTAATGGAATCAAAAATAGAAAACCGACTTTAACCCATGAGTGCTCAGTGCGGATTGGTGAGTATTAACGTATGCAGATGCAGCCAGGAGTAATGACTTATTGTGCCTACCGATACACGCGAGGAGTACGAGATAATAAATTTTTGGTCACCCATCCTATGACCGGCATTAATGAAAGCTGCTTAACATTCGCAGACTAAGCGAGCTATCACTGCGCCATCGAGCTGCTGTAAAACGGTAAGCATTATATACTTTACATTTAGAATTTAACAGCAAAATCAATTTCCTCAATTAAAATTATATCTGGCATCCCAAGGCCCAAGCTTACTTGGTATTTATAAAACGGTGAAATTATGATATGTAACAACTTCCACACCCGGTCAGTATCCGCAAGACCTGCTATGTACAGTCTACATACAAATTCACATGTATGAACGGCAATAAAATCTTCAAAATCACCACTCTACACGTGTTTTGTCCTTTCACGGAGCATCCTCAGGACTTGTTGACTTACAGTGTAAACCACCGAGTGAGCGCAGCCAATTTTGTTTTTTTGGGCTCTCAATTTTAAGGTTTCGGAACCACCCTCCCAACGGGGGAAGGAGGCGGTGAGTCCTTCATTGGATACCCCACAGCCGGCTGTGAGGTTATGTTAGACTCCTACTGACTAAACACCGCCTTGGACAGTTGGTTGCGTGCCCTGAAGGGGCAACGAACCTTCGACCGGACGTCACTATTCACTATTTGCTCAGTATTTATACATATTTCCCTCCCCACCCCTGCGTGGCGTGATGAAACTTTCATGGTTTCACGGTTATAGCAATGGAGTTTTTTTTACGCTGAGAAATGCATTACTCGTACGCATGTCCGCTCCCCCAGCGCAGTGTCGGCTGGTTATGTGGGACTCCTGCGGCTCCACCCCCAAAGGGGGCTAGACAAAAATCAGGAGTTAACCTAAAACTCAGCGATTCCGCAAAATAATGACTGATTCTATTAAATACTTGGTATTTGACAAATATGCTACAATTTTAATGGAATATTGATAATAAATCCCTTTAATAGCAAAATAATATCCAATTCTATCAGTAATAAGAGTTCTATTAGGTACCTCAACAAAACTAACCTATCACATTTCTATATTGAAGCACTTATTTACCTAGCATGTTTAATTTCCTTACTAAATATAGCCTGGCTTACTTTATCCCTACTAAGAAATAAGTTTTTACACGCGCTGTTTTCAACATATACGAAATAGCTTCTTGAAACATAATTTGTGGGAAATGTATTGTCTCTCTTTCGTATGTTTAGCTGATGTGCTTAATTCCTTTTTACTTTTTGATGCAAATTAATTTAAAAAACAATGATCAATAAAAATAATTGTAGAGAACAATTATAGTATGCAGGTATGTAGACATGGGAGTGCGAACGACTCATAATGGTGAAATAGTATATAAACGACCTCTCGCGTAGTAATTATTTATTTCTAAATGATTTTGAAATATTTTTATGCTTGTGCTACATAACCCGAAATCGAGGATCTTCCACCAGAGCCCGCCTGACCTACGCTACTCTGCGTTCTACCTGTGGAGTCTTCGTGGATCACCAGTGCTGCCGACCGGAGCGACGTCGGGTCTACACCCTTGCCAGTCTCCGCCCGACCCGTGACACTGACCCCGCGAACTCGACATTAAATCCCCTATTGTACTTTAAAGCTAAGTCCTCTTAATTCAAGATACAAGAACCATAGCGAGCGAATCTGTACCTACCCCCTGAGAATTAAAATAAAGTGTTTTTAAAACATTATTTGTTTAGTTCTTTTAACCTGAAGCCTGGGGGGTGCTTTTCACCCCCCATCTACAAACCAACGCTTCAGTTGCGATTATTATGTATGTTTAAGATATAATGTCATAATTATTGGTAACTACAAAATATTATTCTTTTTGTTGCTTTTGCTTGTGATTTTTTTTACATGATAGCGATTGTTTAAACCTTTTTTATTTTATTTTATAATGGTCTTGTCTTTGACCTCATTCTAACCTAAGGACATAAATGAGATCCACGGTGGGACGAGCTTGCTCAGAAGGAACCTATTTACTCTTGTCTTGAATAGGTACCT